ATATGAGTGTCGATCACTCAAATTTCGTAGTAAAAAAATTATTCACCTGATCTGCGTGACATCTGGATCGACTGTTATCATAATTTATATTTACGTATCGAATTCCATCTAACCAGGTTGCTAAGAATACGTGATTATTATTTTTAATGTTATCTAATCTATTAAAAGGAATCCACTCAATTACATCTTTGTAAGATGTGGCTTTAAGTTGAAATTCTTTAATACAATTGTCGACATCTTTATTCCCACTTGCAATTCTTCAATGTGTGCCAGGTTGGTGGCTACAAACCACACCAATCAGTAACTCCGATCAAATTAGCTACGCTTAAATCGTACGTACGTACAGATGACACACTAAATTGATTAATATAATTATTATAATAGCGATAATAAACATTCGTTCTTATCCTTGTTAATGATTACGACCCTTCGCTAAATTGGCCGAACCGATACAAGACTCTCCCTTGGTCGTAACAATATTCACGGGATTTATAACCTTAAATCATGGACTTGTCTAGATTTTGTCGATCATGTTGCAGAATCACGGAGTTTTCACAAGAAATAACGGAAATATTCGAAAAAAAATTTTTATAGGGAATGTATAGGGTGATTAATGATCAAATATGACCGTAAAGTTAGAATTTGTTTTTTTTAAAAAAAAAAAAAAAACCATAGATGCAATAAAGGTGATAAAAAAAAATATATTAAATATGTATATCAATAAAGTAATATTTTTTATAAATTATAGTAAGTATATCGAAGTTGTGTCATAATATTGACTACGTATTCAATTAGTTACTCGATTAGTATCGGGATATTTTACAATAATGTCAAATTTTACAATTGAATAGTACCCCGATACTATTTAAAGGGGATACTTTTCCAGGGGGGTACTGTATGCAGCGCTATACGGTATTTATATTTTACAATTCTACTTAACCTTCAATAAGCAACAGATTTTGTGTTCGACTGATTAGAGATACACTCCCCTACAAAAAGTTACCGGAATGAAGATCTTTTTTATAGTAAAACATAGTAAATTTTTACGCTATAAGAAAAGTTATAATTTTATTAGTAAATAATTTTTTTAATTTATAGAATTATAAATTTCATTAATTATAGTTTTTGTAAATACTCTATTTAATTCCTCAAAATTTCTTAAAAAAATTTTAGCCTGATCGAGAAATAAATTCTAAAATTTTTTATAAGTAGAGCTTAAAAAATTTTTAAAATTTATTTCTCGATCAGGCTAGTTTTTTTAAAAAAATTTTTGAGAAATTAAATAGAGTATTTACAGGAACTATAATTAATGAAATTTATAATTCTATAAAATTAAAACAATTATTTACTAATAAAATCATAACTTTTCTTATAACGTAAAAATTTCAATATTTACTATGTTTTATTATAAAAAAGATCTTCATTCCGGTAACTTTTTGTAGGGGAGTGTAGAAAATATAACTAGAAATTGGTAACCGCAAACGCAACATCATGCCATGCATGCATGCTATCATGTTTTCCCCATTTCTAAACATAACTATGTGGATAATTACGTTATCATAATTGGGAATATTTGGTAATGAAATTCCCAGTTTCAATAATAGCATAGGATGCTTTTTTGAAATTATACTTGCTTGATATTATTAATTGATGTATGCACGATCTAATTTCAGGGACATAGTTTTAGATCAAGTAAATGGTAATTTCTATCACGACATGACAGGGATGGCACGTCACAATGTCCAATTTGTTTCGGTTTTTTTTTGTTTGGACCAATTGAAATTGGACATAAGCTTATGTCCAACAAAAATTGACATTGTGATGTGCCATCCCTGACGACATGTACGTATAGTTTAATAACGAGATAAAGAATGAATATTATAAGCAAATCAAAAAGAGCCATCAACTATCAATAAAAAGGCGGTTCCGATCAACTCACCGACAGTCATTTCGCCGAATGCTTGTTATAGGTATATATTTTTTTACTAAATTTCACCTGGCGTGATGTTGGCTAAATGAGCTGTCGGTGAAATAATACAGACCCCAATAAAGGTAATACACGCACATAGAGTGTATGAACAAAAAAAAACCAAAAATTATCTATAGAACATAACGTGTAATCGTACGTATCTACGTATACTCTATATTTAATAAATTGTAGCTTTTAAAAACTTTGTCAAATAACCTATATTAAGAAAAAATATTGAAAAAACTAACTGTAAATATTGTTATTTGAATCGCTATTTTCAAGTTTTTTTTTTTTAAAAAAAACTTAACACTTATTAGCCAAGGTACAAATTGCCTTGCTGATTGCTAACCTATGAGCCATAAAGTGATCTCATAATAATGATCGCTCTATCACTTCTTGACAAGCTTCTCAATTACTTTCCTGCCGGGTCAAATTTTGTAAACATTCGAAAAATTTTTATATATATTATAATTTATAATTTTATTAATATTAAAAGAATATTGCTATTTATCGCCAGTGGCGATATCGCCGGGGATACTATATCTCAAAAACCTACTAGCTAACACATGTCGAAGGTACTAAATAAAAATGTTCAGGACCCCAAAAACCTAACCCTAACAAAGATTTGGACCTTTATACCTAACCCCTAACCTTGGTCTAAAATTGCATCCTATCTCTAAATTTGATAAAAGAAATAGGAGGTGGTGGTATTGCCACGGCGATAAATGCTAAAATTGTATTAAAAAAGCAAAAAAAAAACTATATAAATTTTAAACAAATCTTATTGTTTTGATAAAGATATTCAGCTATAAATTTAATTGAAATTACTAGCTATAGCTACTTCCATAAATTTAATTGAAATTGAAATTACTAGCTATATCTCTAACTTCCCATAAATTTAATAAGATTTAAATATTTTGAAATGTATTTAACATGTAACTGGGCGATAAGTAATTTAAATAAATTCCATTTATTGTTTATAATGCTTTAATATTTGCTGTAAAGCATTTAAATAAATTAATATTCATATTGTTATACATACGTGAAATAAAATTATACTAGATGTCGGGAATTGAAATAACACATTCTTTAGAACCTGCAAAAATTAAAAGTAATTAAAATTTCTATTGTTAACGACTGATTAAAAACCAGATGTAATAAGCGTAATAATTCACCTTTAAAAAAATTAAGCAGTTTACTTGAAAGTTTATCTCTAGAATAAATTTGCGATTCCGTTGATAGTGTTGGAATAAATTCATCTGCAGACTGGAATGCCTTTAATATTGCTAATTCATCTTTATCATTTGGAGCATTACGGCATATATTATACCATCTTAATAATTCTTCCCAGATGTAAGATGCAGTTGGTCATTAGAAGAATTAACATCCGTACATTGATTTGCTAATTGGATATAGAACTCAGGAGTGCCTTTAGCAAATTCTGGACGTAGCCCATTACATATTTCATT